TTGTTAGCCGTGTTCCTTCTCTGAGTCTTAGTTTCATCATCTGTAAAATGGGGATAGTTTACAGAACGAGGATGCTAACAGGAGGCTGTCGTGACGACCGGTGCTGAGTAATGAGCACGTGGGAGGACGTCCACAGGCAGTGGCTGTTGCGTTGCCCTCGGTGACTGCGGCCAGAGCTCCTCCTCCCTGGGTGGAGTTGAAGTCCCGGATAAAGTCCTTTCCCAAAGTTCTAATTTTGCCATAAGACAGACGGATTTTTTAAGATGTCTGTTTGGAGAATTGGGCCCTCACAATCTCTTTCTGAAGGATTAAGTCCTGTTGATAGCTATGATTCTTACTTCAAAGAAGGAAACATTTATGGGAAGATAAGAGATGGAAGAAAGTGTTTTTGATTTTTTTTTTAATTTTGATTTTTAAAATTGGCATATAACAGTTGTACATATATATGAGGCACATGGTGATCTTTATATATATATATTATATATATATATATATATATATATATGATGTATAGTGATCAGATCAAGGTAAAGCATGTCACCGTCTCAAACATTTATCATGTCTTTGTGTCGAGAACATTCAATATTCTCCTTCTAGCTATTTGCAACTATGTAATATATTATAGTTAACTATAGTCATCCTGCAGTGCCGTAGAACACTAGAACTTATTCCTCTTATCCAGCTGTAATTTTGTACCCTTTAACAAATCTCTCCCTATCTCCTCTTTCCCCTGCCCTTCCCAGCCTCTAGTATCCTCTGTTCTGCTTTTGACTTCTATGAGATCAGTATTTTTTAACTTCCACATAAGAGCGAGAACATGCGGTGTTTAGCTTTCTGTTTCTGGCTTATTTGACCTGACGTAATGGCCTCCAGTTCCATCTGTGCTGTTGTAAGTAACAGGACTTCCTTCTTTTTGGTGGCTGAATACTATTCCATTGTGTATAGAGATCACACTTTCTTTATCCGTGCATCTGTGTTGGACACCTCTGTCGATTCCATATCCCGGCTGTTGTGAACAGTGTTGCAGTAACATGAGGGTACAGATGTCTCTTCAATATACTGATTTCTTTTCCTTTAGATAAATGCCCAGTGGTGACCTTGCTGGATTGTATGGAGGTTCTATTTGTAGTTTTTTGGAGAACCTTCATACTGTTCCTCATAATGGCTGTGCTAGTTTGCATTCCCACCAATGGTTCCCTCTTTCTCCGCATCCTCATCGGTATTTGTTATTTTTTGTCTGTTTGATAATGGCCATCCTAACTGGGGTGTGATGATCCCTCAGTGTGGTTTTGATTTGCATTTCCCTGATGATTAGTGATGTTGAGCAGTTTTCATGTATCTATTGGCAAAAATGTTTGAAGGATGGCACTGCTGTGTGTTTTAATAAATCATTTATTTTTATTTGGATTACAAAATTAGTACTCAACTACTGTAGAAAATTTGGAAAATACAGTATCCCCTTACCTGGCTGTGATTGTTAATGGTGACCTTTTTATTATATTTCACAGTAGTTTAGACCGATTCACACAGTTGACATCATAATATGGTGTAGTTTTCTCATCTGATTTTCATTTAACATTCAACCATAGCCATTGTCCATGGTGTACAAAGTCTTCATTGATAATTTTCAATGGCCTTATAATAGTCTACAGAGTGGCTGCCTCTGGATGCTTCATTCCTATCTAGTTCCTCCCTCTGCCCGCTTTCATTCCAGCCACACTGGCATCCTTGGCATTCCTTTAACACAGCGTGGTCGCTTCTGCCTCAGGGCCTTTGCACTGCCTCCTCCTTCAACCTCCAAAGCACTTTCCTGGTTCTGTCTGTGGCCAGCCCCCCCTCATTCTTCAAAACCCAGTTCAAATATCATGTCTTCAGAGAGAGCCCACCCTGACCACCATAAATACATAACAACTTGCTCAGTCTCTCTTGATCTCATCACCCTGTTTTATTAATACTTTCTCCTTGGTGGGGGGAAGGGGAAGCTTTATCATTTTCTCTCCTGAAATTATCTTATGGATCTATTTGTTTACCTGTTTATCATCTCTGTCCCTCAATAGACTGTAAGCTCCATGAGGACAGGCACCTTGTCTGTCTTGCTCGCTGATTTCCCAGTGGCCGACACTGTGCCTGTCACTTAGTGGGAGCTCAGTAAACATGCACTGAAGAAGCAGATGGCTGGTCACGTGGTTGGCTGTGTGGCTGGGGAGAATGAATGGATAGTGGTGGATGGATAGATGGTGGATAGAGGTGGATGATGGGGAAGAGTGGATGGGTGGATGGATAGATAAATGGATACGTAGGCAGATAAATCATGCTTTTACTAACCATGCCTCAATTCCACATGTAGAGTGCTTCTCAGGGATATATTTTTTTTTTTGCTTTTTTTATTTTATTTTATTTTTTTATTTCAGCATATTATGGGGGTACAGATGTCTCTTCAATATACTGATTTCTTTTCCTTTAGATAAATGCCCAGTGGTGACCTTGCTGGATTGTATGGAGGTTCTATTTGGAGT